AAGATATGTTTTTTGATCAATTATTCATGTCGACGAGCGGTCCACACTCAATCTTTTAGTTTTTAAAAAAGTATAGCTCTTTATGGTAAAGTGTAGCACCTTATCATAAAAGTGTAGCTCTTTATGACAAAGTATAGTGCTTTATTGCCAAAGTATAGCTTCTTATTGATAAAGTATAACTCTTTATGGGTTCTAAAAATTCTACAACTTAGTGGGATAAATCAATTTAGTTTTTTTCTAAGCAATGTAAACGTACGGTGATATGTAAGATGTGTTGTTTGATCAATTATTTATGTCGACCAGAGGCCCACTCTAAATTTTCCAATTTTTTAAAAATATAGCTCTTTATAGTAAAGTGTAGCACATTATCGTGAAAATGTAACTCTTTATGGTAAAGTATAGAGCTTTATTGCCATAGTATAGTTCATTATTAGTAAAGTAATTAAAATATTTTTACCATAAAGAGTTACATTTTTAAGATAAGGTGCTACACTTTACCATAAAGAGCTATACTTTTTAAAAACTGTAAAATTCAATGTGGATCATTTGTCGATATGAATAATTGATCAAACAACACATCTTACATGTCTTCACACATTTACATTGTTCAGAAAAAAACTGACTTGATTTATCCCATTAAGTTACAGAATTTTCAAAACCCATAAAGAGCTATACTTTATCAATAAGGAACTATACTATGGCAATAAAGCGCTATACTTTGCCATAAAGAGCTATACTTTTATGATAAGGTGCTACACTTTACTATAAAGAGCTATATTTTTTCAAAAACTGGAAAATTTAGAGTGGACCTCTCATCGACATGAATAATTGATCAAACAACACATCTTACATGTCATCACATGTTTACATTGCTAAAAAAACTGATTTGATTTATCCCACTAAGTTGTAAAATTTTCAGAACTTATAAAGAGCTATACTTTATCAATAAGGAGCTATACTATGATAATAAAGTGATATACTTTGCCATAAAGAGCTACACTTTTATGATAAGGTGCTACACTATACCATAAAGGGCTATACTTTTTTTAAAACTGGGAAATTGAGTGTGGACCTCTCGTCGACATGAATAATTGATCAAACAACACATTTTACATGTCTTCACACGTTTACATTGCTCAAATAAAACTAATTTGATTTATCCCACTAAGTTACAAAATTTTTAGAACCCATAAAGAGCTATACTTTATCAATAAGGAGCTATACTATAGCAATAAAGCTCTATACTTTACCATAAAGGGCTACACTTTGACGATAAGGTGCTACACTTTACCATAAAGAGCTATATTTTTTAAAAAACTAGAAAACTGAGTGTGGACCTCTCGTTGACATGAATAATTGATCGAACAACACATCTTATATGTCATCACATGTTTACATTGCTCAGAAAAAAACTGTTTTTATTTATCCCACTAAGTTACAGAATTTTCAGAACCCATAAAGAGCTATACTTTATCAATAATGAGCTATACTATGGCACTAAAGTGCTATACTTTACAATAAAAAGCTACACTTTTACAATAATGTGCTACACTTTACTATAAAGAGCTTAAAAACTGAAAAATTGAGAGAGGACCTGCGGAGCATCTTTCATATCTACCACTAAACAATGAAAATAATCTAAAATCACCAAAATTTACCCAAACTCTAAAATGATATAATTTCAACAATAAGAACATAATTACAGCATGAAACAATAATTATACATCACCACTACAAATATCATCACACTATGCAACACTTTACTATAAAGACCTGTACTTTTCCAAAATTTGAAAAAATTGAGAGTGAACCTTCAGAGCATCATTCATAATTATAGCATGCTCAATAATTACAACATTTTCTAGCAAAAATTTTGATTCCTCTGAGACAAATACAATCGCGATCTTTGCTCTTAAAAGTTCACAATCGTTCTGATGAATGAACGGAGGTGTGCCATTGATGATGGAATATATGTATCCCATCATGAAAATACTGCAACTTATGCTCCTACACAAACAAATGGCACAATCAATGATTCCATGATAAATTTTTTTTTATTAACTGCCAATTCTAACTTATCGTGCATTTCCAAAGAAAAATATATGAAAGTAATATCGAGAAACGCTGGCATAAGAGGCTTCATACCACTTTCAAAGAATTCATCCATAAGCTTTTCTGCAATATCAATTCTAATTTATCGTGCATTTCCAAATCAAAATGCATAAAAGTAATATCGATTTTGATGTCGCAATGCTTCAAATTATCAAAACCAACAAGAACAATAAGAATCTGAAGGCCACCAAGCAATAAGGGGCTGTTTGTTTTCCTACACAGAAAGAAAGTGTAGCAAATGCTCAAATGTAGCATCTATTACGGGAAATCTATTTCAAATCCGTTGTTTGGATATCTCCAATTTTACCATGGAAAATGTATTTTCATGGCAAGTTTCAATGTTTGGTCAAAAAACAAATGATTCAAGAGCTACAAACTTTCAAATTGGATCGGCATACATTTTTTTCTCTCAGTGGGAAAATTCTATAACATTTATTTTTTTTACAATTTTTTCTATAAATTTCTAACTTGACCTACCTTTTCTAATGTCACGGTTCCCAATCAAACATTGAAATATATATTTAACTACACTATTCACTCCTGTAGCTCTATTTCCTCTCATCAAAACATAGGCAAACTAAACAAATAGGTGGTGGACAGCGAGTCACTACCCTTACAACTAAGCATTCTCTTAAAACTACTAACTTCACGTACAAGGATCCAATTTTTATGTTGCAACTCTTCACCATTCCCAACACCAACAAAAGACCACGAAAAAAGATTAGAATTTGAGTAACCAAATATCATCAAAACCAAATATTGACAAGAGAGAACAATAAGCGTAAATTCAACGAACAGGTGGTAGGCAAAGAGTTGAACTAACCCGATAGCTCGCCTCATTCTCTCGAATCCGCATGCAATGGATAACAACATAACCCACATCCTCCTGCCGAACCCACTTCCTCTAAGCGTCAAGGTTCCTCACCATCGTCGCCGACTTATGCGAAGGCAGTTCCTTACAAAGCCTGGCGATCTTTGACCACCGCCATTGCTCCGGGAGCTTCTCAAGCTCCGTCACCTCCAATGGCAGCGACAACAAGTGCTTCAGGTCCTTGTCTGCCGCCACATCAGTGAACTGGGGGGAGTCGATGTCGAAATAGTTGGTGGGCTATTCATCTGATTCGAGGTCAACTGTGGTGGATGACGTAGCGGCAAGGGGAATAGGGGCGGCGGATACAGATGTTGATGGGCTTGAGGGAGGAGGGGAAGTGAAGGGAGGGGAGAGGAGGAGGTTGGTGGTAGTGGTTTAAGGAGAAGATGAAGGAAGAAGAGAGCTCTGGGCTCAGTTAGAGGAGGAGCGAGAGGGAGAGATCAGTTATATTTGGGGATGAAGGGTAGTTTATGAATTTTTAATTTATTGGGTAATTACAGTATAAATAATGAGTGTATTGTACATGTTGGATTTAAAAATAAGTGAGATAAGATACAATGGGTGTATTGATATTTGGAAAAGTAGGTGGGTTTTTAAATACGTGGGGGTAAAACTTTGGGTTAAAAAAGAAAACCCCTAAAATTAACTCCAAGATAACAAGATATTTTCAACTTGCATGATGTGACAAATATGTTTAAAAAATTCCACCAAGTTATCTGATAACAACTCACGTGATCTGTTGCGTGATGCTTAGTCACACATCTTTCAATAAAACCACCATTTACATTCAAACTGTTTTTTGGACCAGTGATTTCATCTCTCAAAAGTGAAAATAATTGAGTTCCCACGCTAAACATAGGCTTGTCAACCCATGCCCATAATTCACAATCATCAAATGACATTATGCAAAGCAAAAAATAAATAAATAAATAAATAAATTACTGGATTTCACACAAACCACAATGAAAAAGAAAAAAAAAGAAAAAAAGAAAAGGGATGACCTACATGTTAGCCCATTGATGAGGCTATGCCTTCTTCTTCCATTGCTTATGCATGACGCTGTCGTAGGCGGGAACTTGAGCTTGAAGAAGCTGTTCTTCTGCAATGGAGAATTCCCAATTTGGAAGAAGAGGAAGAAGAAGTCTCAAAATTAAAAGTCCCTCTATTTTTGCCCTAATTAAAAAATTACTCTTCATAACAAAATGAATGACACAAACTCCACTTGTAGATGATCATAAATATGCTATCTAATCGTCACGTGACATGTCACGTGAGTGATTAACGGAGATTGGCTGGAATTTTTTTTGGTCATATTTATCTCATCATGTAAGTTAAATATCTTGTTGTTGCGTGATCATTATGTACTGGTTTTAATACCAATCTGGTAATTTAGCTGTTTTGTACAATGTTCATTTAAATATAACTAAGCTTTAAGATTTTACACTTCAAATTAGTATAAACACTTTTTAAATATTTCCTATATATAAACATTTTCTTAAAAGAATGGAACAATTACATGTTCTAATTTTCCGTTTTTGTTTCTCAAGTAATGCAAACTAATGTCAAATCATATGTTATATGCAACTAATTAATTATTCGGAGTGCGTCAATACAACGCCCCATGAGCATAATCATGATGTCTTATCGGTATATATAGAAGCGATTTTCCTAAAGTTTTGAGATAGGATAAATATATCCTAATTAATCTTTCAGAATTCTATTCAAAGATGGTAATGTGTGGAGCAAAAAGTAAAAAAAGAAAACGTTATCAGGGTATTCTACATGTGAATGTTCTTTATTCAAAAATTTCAACAGAATTTTTAGTCGTAGTTCAAACTTATAAGTCCTTAATATAAATATATAATTTTCTAAGATAAAGTTTTGGGTAATACATGACTGTTCCCTGTTCCATGCCAAAAATGGGATGAAAAGCCAAAAGCATCGCTTAACAGCCAAGTCCCATGCTACCCCACAAAAAGAATCAGTTACAAAATTCTATAACTAACTTAGCTCCCAGGCCAAAAACCTCGTGCCCTCAACTCCCTCGTCCACCGCCTCGGCCATCGACAAAGATGACAGCTTTAACCAAATCCCTCTCCATCTTCATCCTCCTCTTGCTCCCCATCCTCTCCTCAGCCGGCGGCTCGAATTTGATCCGCGTTGGGCTGAAGAAGAAGCCCCTGGATCGATCGATTCAAGCCCTGGATCCGAGAAAATACGGGTTAAGATCTAATTTTGAGAATGTGGGTTCCGACGACGAGGACATAGTCTCGTTGAAGAATTACATGAACGCGCAGTACTTTGGGGAGATTGGGGTTGGCACGCCACCGCAGACTTTTACGGTGATCTTTGATACGGGAAGCTCCAATCTTTGGGTTCCATCGTCCAAGTGCTATTTCTCGGTGAGTGATATATTTTCTGTCTGCGTTTGCTTTTGATTGAGAGAGTGGTTCTTATCGGTTTTGGTGACGGTATGCAGATTGCTTGTTATATGCATTCGAAATATAGTTCGAGCGAATCGAGCACGTATCAAGAGAATGGTGAGTCTCTGAAACTTGGGTTGATGGCATGTCGAATACCAGTTTTTGGGCTAAATTTGAATTCTTGTTATGGAATTGGTTGGGTGTTCTAACTTGGGTTGATCGGGTTTTAATTTATGCTAGAGTTGTGGCTGAGGGGTTAGGGATGATGATTTGGCAATTTGTTTTGTTTGGTAAACGTAGAAGGGCGACGATCGATAATTAAGGCTGAAAATGACATTTTATATCCAATAGCTCTCAAATCACTACATTATAATCAGGAGATTCTTGATGACATGCTATACAGGGGTGGTGGTCCTGCTTCTGGGGTCAAATCAATATGTTTCAAGGAAATATATATTATATATATTATAATATATATATATATATATATATATATATATATATATTATATATATATATATATATATATATATATATATATATGAGAAACGGGAGCGTGAGCTGCAGCGTAGCTGAAATTTCCTACGCTGCAAGTGTATGACATGTGAGCCCCCTACTAGTCAACATTCGGTTCGGGACTCACGTGTCATACACTTGCCAGCGTAGGAAATTTCCTACGCTGCCAGCTCACCTCCCGTTTTCTCTCTCTCTCTCTCTCTCTCATCTATACTATATATATATATATATATTATATATATATATATATTAATAATTTTTTTCTTCCTTTTTTTTTTAATTTCTTTTGTTTTTTTTTTTTTTTTTTTTTTTTATATCATACTATATATATATATAATAATATATATATATTATATATATATATATATATATATATATGTGATAATTTTGTATTATGATATGATTTTGTATTTTAGTTATAAGCTAGATTTGTTGTCAAGATTAGTACGGGCAGGCGCGTTTGACATAAGTGAAATGTCTGTGTGACGGTTGGACCTATAAGCAATGCCTTTTTTTTGGGTGATATTAGTAGTGGACTCCGTCCTTGTTAACCAATCCTTTAATTATTATTTTATTATTTCCACTGACAAGTAGTACTTTCTAACACCTGCTTGTGGTTCAATCCTTAAAGTTTGCTCATGTAATTACTTGTTTGAACAGGCAAATCTGCTGCAATTCAGTATGGAACCGGATCAATCTCGGGCTTCCTTAGCCAGGATCATGTTACAGTTGGTGACCTGGTTGTCAAGGATCAGGTTTTAAACTTAACAAGAAACATTGTTTTTTTTGGGTTACACAATGCTTTAAGTTCATCACTCCAAATATTTCTTCTCAGGTTTTCATTGAAGCAACTAAGGAGCCAGGCCTCACTTTCTTGATGGCCAAATTTGATGGCATTCTCGGACTTGGATTCAAAGAAATATCGGTTGATGACGTGGTGCCTGTATGGTATGCTTCTCTACCTTGATTATGGATATTTATGATGGCTAATGAAAAGTAACCCTTCATCTTGTTGGAAGAAAACATTAAATATATTAAAGGAAAACATCAGGGAAAAGACACAGACATTGAGAGGTCAATTGGAAGAAAACAGTAAATTCAACATATTTAATGCCTTTTAAGGAAAATATCACTTTCTAGTATGTTTTGAAACGCCATGTGCTGTTATGTCTTACCTGTCAATGGTTATTTGAACTAGGATAAAATATATATTAGATCAAATGTAATTATAAATTTTTAACCTGCATAACTGTTCCTTTGTCTTTGGTCAGATGCTCTTGGTGAAATTCAGATAAAACCAAAGTAATTTCGTTTGGTTGGTTTCCTAAAAATCAAGAAAAGGAAATCGGTACAAGGAAATCAATAAAATAATATTTTTACCCATTTCCATCCCTAAAACTCACCCACAACATCTAATAAAATATTATTTTTATCTTCCAACTCATCTCATTTCATCTCCTTTCTTACATTTAAAAATAAACCAAACACAAGAAATGTGTCACATCATCCAACTCATCACAACTCATCTTATCCCATTTTTAAAAATCACACACATCATCCAATAATATTGTGACAACTCATCTCATCTCATTAAACATTCATTTTCATCCATTTCCTAAAAAAAAACAAGAAATTGGTTTCCTTAAGTACGTGTCACATCATCCAATAATATACCTCCAACTCATCTCATCTCATCTATTTTCCTATTTTTAAAAACGAACCAAACACAAACAACCTCAAAACATCATCCAATAATATACCTCCAATTCATTTCCTTATTTTTTTAACCAACCAAACAACCTCAAAACAATTTTTTTTTTAAAATCACTCACATCATCCAATAATAAGTTGACAACTCATCTCATCTTATCTCCTATTCTACAATTTCTTTCTTTTTTAAACCAACCAAACAACCTCAAAACAAATATTATAGGAAATAGGTTTCCTATTCTTTGATTTCCCAAAAAAAATGGCCAAACGAACAGTAGAGATAGGGATGGATCCAGAAATGTTTTCCTATAGGGGCACTTATACAATTATATAATATAAATGTATAACTTACATAGTATAACTTCTACCAATAGAAAAACATATCACTAAAGTAATCACATAGATCTCAACACATAACAATTTCCATTACCATTTTCACATCAATACATGAGTATTTTTCATTTTCATCACAAACACTAAAAAAATCTTCTAAATTGCAAAATGTTGTCCTTGATAATTATTTATTGACTTGTTAGAAACTCTCAGGGATGCCTTGAGCTGGAAGAGTTGAGTTTAGAGAGGTTGAAAGCTGGATATAGTTATAGGCCCATATACACATCTAAGAAAAGTTGTAAACAATAACTATAATCAAACAGAAACTTGTCTGCTCCACCTGAGTTTGCTTCAAATTTTAGTTATAATTGGAATACTTTTCTTTTTTTTTTTTTTCTTTTTTTTTGTTGGGATCAAGAAGTGTCAATAGTGCTACATCTTACATACAATTTATCTACTATTCCAACAGGTATAACATGGTTGGCCAAAAACTTGTCCAAAATCCTGTTTTCTCCTTCTGGTTGAACCGAAGAGAAGGGGAATGGCAGGGAGGTGAACTTGTATTTGGAGGTTCTGATCCAAATCATTTTAAGGGGGAGCACACATATGTTCCCGTGACTCAGAAAGGTTACTGGCAGGTGAAAACACTCGAATATTTTGTTTCAATGGAAGAACTTTGTGGTTTTCTCTCTTATTGGCCGCTTTTTTTTTTTGGATGCATTTACAGTTCAATATGGGAGAGGTGCAAATAGGAGGGCAGAAGACTGGTAATTGTTGCTATGTCTTCATATCTATTTTTTTTCTCCAACATTCGAGTATCTTATACGTGCTATATCCTCTGCATTATATACTCTGAGTATAGGAGTGTAATTTTGCAGGATTCTGTGCTGGAGGTTGTGCGGCAATAGCAGATTCTGGAACTTCCCTAATTGCTGGTCCAACAGTAAGTGTTAAATCCAGATGTTTATTCACCCATTACGCTTATCTTTCTTTTATTTTTCCAAATAATCTTCGGTCAGCTTTTCTTCCATAAACCAGTACCAACATTCCACTTGTCATTGTTCTTTGCTTGATACCTATCATTAACTTTTTTATCTCTGGAGTAGACAGTCTTACTCAGAGCAAAGGGACACGTTGATTCAAGAAGTGACATTAGTTCTTTTCCTCTCCTAATCTTTCATCTTGCATTGTTTTGTTCTTCCTCCTCTCCCCTCTTCTTTTTCATGTATATTTTGCTACTTCCTCTACTTAATAAACTCTCTGGGCACCTTGCACCAGTTTCTCCCACACGAAAAAAAAAAAAAAACTCTGTTGTGTTGCTGTATAAATGCATCTTTTTCTAACAGTGTCTTTAAATTACCACTTTGAGTCTTTCATTCAGCCTCTGATTTGGGGGGGGCTGGGGGGGGGGGGCGGGGATTGAGACTGAGAAGTTCACGTGGACATATTCTTTGTTCGATGCGTAGGGATGCAATGGACTGTGTGTGTCTCTTTAGAGTCATAACTAATTGCATGACGATCATATTTAGGTATATAATGAAAGTAAGAGTAAGCACAAGTAGAATAGAAGAAGGATAGAAGGATAAAGGTCCGTCATAACTCCTAATTGTTTGAGACAAATCTGGCTCTACATGTGTACTACATCACACAACCAAATAATCCTCTAATAAAATCATGAAAGGAACAAAAGTCAATATTTCATAAGACCCTCTATACCCATCAAATTAGTGGCTGAATTATGGACATAACTGTGGAGAATCTTGTTAGGGAAAGGAAATACTTCAATTTTCTAAATTACACCTCAATTATTTTATTGGTGCAACATGTTACTCCCAAGTCATCTTAACACTATACTTGATCTTATGTACAGGCAGTCATAACAGAAATTAATCAAAAGATTGGAGCTTCTGGTGTTGTTAGCCAAGAATGCAAGGCTGTAATTGCACAATATGGGGAAAAAATTCTTGCCATGTTGGTGGAAAAGGTCAGGATTACTTGTGACGTCAATTTTGCATTTAAATTTGATTTAGTTTTCTACATCGTTATGCATGTTAAATGCTCTGAGTCCCTGTTAATTTTTACAGGAACAACCAGAAAAGGTTTGCTCCAGGATTGGTCTGTGCACTTTTGATGGATCTCAAGGAGTTAGGTTAGACTTCCTTTTTTGCCTTTTTTAATTTTTTCCACGTATGAGTTTGATTTGATATTAGTCACAACAATAGTGTTTAATAGTTTATCCTTGAGTTTTCCGCAGATACTCATCTAATTTTCTTGTTTCACAAGTAAATTCTAACTTGATACCGGTTATTCTCACGTCTCGTGTACTCAGTGGCATTATTGAGAGTGTAGTAAATGATAACGGGGATAAATCAACTGATGGACAGAGTGATGCTATGTGCTCTTCTTGTGAAATGGCAGTTTTATGGATGCAGAATCAGCTTCTCCAGAATAAAACACAAGATCAAATACTTAATTATGCAAATGAGGTATACTATATAAGTTACTTGCAACTTTTTGTAGTGAGAAAAGTTTGAAGATTTTATCGTTAGTCATGATTTCTGTTGCAATTGCAGCTGTGTGATAAGTTACCTAGTCCAATGGGAGAATCAGCTGTTGACTGTAATAGCCTTGCCGGGATGCCTACCGTTTCTTTTACTATCGGTGGAAAGATATTTGATCTGACACCAGATCAGGTGTGCTTGATTCACCTATTCCTTTGATTGCTTTTCATGATCATACCATCATGCACATCAATCACTAATTCAGAATTCTCTACATACAACTTGCTGCTTTTCCAGAAATAGCAAATATTTGACGAAGTATATCACATGGAATATCAAAGGGTCACATGCAAGAAGTACACATTTGAACTTTGTAAAAATTTCACTCTGCAGGGAACGAGAATGATCAAGATTTAAATAGAGCATTAAATACCAACTGGGTAAGAGACAGATGCCATGAAGGCATATATCAGTAAGAGTAAAGGATCTGAGGGAGTAGACTGAATAATAACACAGAAACCAGATGTAGTATAGGAATAAAAGTAGTTAGTGATCTGAGACAAAGTGAGAAGATGAAGGAAAGAGACCAGTGGCTGGAAACAAAGTAGATATTGGATAATAGAAGAGTAGAAGAAAAGAAAGAGAAGAAGCCGAAAACAGGATAAAATATAATAAGTCAAAATTCACCAATTCATTTCATGAGCCCTGCAATACATGTCCCTGTAAGAAAGCAATTATAACCAATCGAACATAATAATGATTCCTATTCCCAGATACAAAACTGACAAAATATAAAGCATTATCGTACAAACCAATAAAATGCTCAAAATCACTTATTTCCTAGGCTACTAATCAAACTGCTTAAACTTCCAATTAATCTTCACTATGAATTTTCAGCTTAACTATCTTCTTTTATCTTGAACCAGCAATCTTCTTCTGCTAGAATTATTTTACAAAAAAATAAAAGTTATAAGTGCCCTGGAAGACACAAGAACATTATGATGGTCTTAAAATATAGTTATCCTCGAGGAAAATATAACCCTAATTTCGCTTCTCATCATTTCTCTATGTTCTTGTCCCTGCTCTCCATTGTAGTATGTTCTTAAAGTTGGCGAGGGAGATAAAGCGCAATGCATCAGCGGATTCACAGCCTTGGATGTACCTCCACCAAGAGGACCTCTCTGGTATGACTACACCCAATTTGCTCTCCTCTCACAATTGTTGCGTGTACTCGGAAAAACTCATATTGATGTTATCTATATACAATATACAGGATATTGGGGGATGTCTTCATGGGAGTTTATCACATTGAGTTCGACTATGGGAAGTCGAGAATTGGATTTGCAAAAGCGGCATAAGATGGCCTATCTTTATTCTGGTCTTGATATTCTGAAACTTTGGTTCATATATGCTTACGTTTGTGTGCTATTTATGTATATATTTTGGATGGATCAGGATTACTGTGTTATCTGATTTTTCTTAAATGTTATTTACGGTTCTTTACATGTCTTGTTCACCAATGCAATCGAGATGCAATGCATATCCAGATGTCATATCTGGAAAGGGGAGGGGGGAAAATGAAACTGACATTTTTATTAGTAACATTCCTTTGAGAGATACCATTTTGTCAATGAAAGAATACTATGACTTCCTTGGGTTATGCATGTAGAGGGAGAAAATAATAAATACATTCTGAATTATGAAATGTAATAATTTTCTGAGGGGCTAATTGTGTATATACCTTCCCTGCTTTGATGATATAGCCACATACCTTGCTTCTTCATTAGCACTAGGTGAGATGTACATGCGCTACGCGTGGTTACTTTTTTGAGTTTTTTTATTTACTATAATTAGGTTGGGAAATAGTTTAAAATATAGTAAAACTTTTTGGATGTCTCAGGACATAACCTTGTTGGTTTCAATCTCTTCCCTTCCCAAGAAATCATAAAGGTTAGAGTATGTTTAATAACATTATAAATAATAGACAATCCATCTGATAAACTTGTTTAATTACTTATTTAGGTTTTGAATTTATTTTATGAAAAAGAATATGAGAAACAGTGACTTAAAGGGGGGAAAATAAAGATCTAGAATTAAGCATTTAGAAGAGGTTTTAGTGTTAATAATGTTAGTAAGCAAATTAAAAGTGAAATTAATGGAAAATGTTAAGTAAATCCATGTGAATTAGACTGGATGGTCGTTTGATCGATTCATTGCTATTGAATTCTGAGGCCGAGAGTGCATAGATTTTGCAGTTAGATGAATGAATATTCTATTACTATCAGTCTAACTGATCCAATATTTTTTTTAGCATTACATATAATTGATACACTTATATTAAATATTTATAATAAGTAACAAGATGAAATTTACACACTTGAATAATCTCTCTCAATTGTTTGGAGAAATGTACCCCCGGTATCTTTATCATCAACGAATCCTATAATTATACAACACAAATAATTTTTTTAATTCAATAAGATGAATAATTCTATGAACTTTCTAATCATTTCAAAAAATATTAATTTACACCATTTAAAGGATTTTCTAACTGACAAAGAATATTGACTGAAATAGAAGTTAAACAATAAATCTAAAAGTGTATGTTTTATTAAACTCTACATTTTGGCTTAAAAATATTTTTTTGGAATTTATAATACTACCCAAATTTTGTAAACAATGTTCTTTATTTGTGGACTTAGAAATAACATTTCTGGATTTTTGCCTAATTAAAATTTTCCAAACATTACCCTTTCTTATAATTTTGTTATTAAAATCTTAGATTTAAACTTGTAATTAATTTTACCAAAACCTTAATTCTTTATAAAAATATTTTTGTACACATTTATAGTGGAATTTCTTTTTTTGTTTATGTTAATTGTTAGTTTTAGTTTTCATAGAACAAACTAACTTTATAGAGCTATTCTACATATAAATTTTACATTGCTCTTTATATATAATACAACTAAAACTACTTTCATGAATGAATTTCTTTATGGTTTAAATGCCTATGTCCTTAGATATACTTCTTGGTATTCATGCTTTTATAAATGGTAAGATCAACTCTTGTAAACAATCCTGGAGAGTATTTTGAATATCCCTTCATGCGACAACAGATTTAAATACCATGTTCTTCCAATAATTAACAAAAACATAAATGGAAATCATAACAGTTTATAATCACCCATATGCATGCAAAAAATCTACATGAATGAAAAATGTAAAAGAGCCATAACGATAAAGTATTAAAAATAAATGAAAATTTGTTGAAAAAATAAATAATTACAAATGATGAAACTAAGTATTGGTAAAATTTGTTTATAAAAGGGTAAGTACTTAAGAAAATGAATGAAATCATAATACATTGTATATTCTACTTTTATCAGTTGATCGATCAAATAGAAGTTACGCATTGCCCAGGAATCAGAGGAAAAATAAAATTTTAGTAGTTGAAAAAAATCATTAAATTAAGATGATCTCATTAAGATTCTAAATTTTTTTGATAATGTTATCTTATGCAAACATACAAAATTTGTATTGCCTATCCATTCACTTAGACTCATAAGCTATTAATTATCATTATTAAAACTTATAGTGCTAAAATGAGCTTAGTCTAAGACTTCCAATATTAATTGCCACTTAACAGCAAACAAGTAAATTGGGAATATTGAGACCACTTTTTCCATCCACTTTAACCAAACTCTATCATTGATTTAATACTAGATCGTGGTACTTTATTCTCAAGTAGACTATATGACACTATAAAAAACTTGCATATAATTAACAAATACTATTCTTTCATAAAAAAGTAAAACAATAAGTAGATTCATGCACTAAATATGGTCCATTAAATTAACCAATATGATACATATTCAAATATACTTCTTTTAGAAAAAAAAAATGGGGCCTAAAAGACCCTAGTCAATAGCTGTATTGCCATTCCCAACTTACAAAGTAGCTTTCATCCCCAACAGAAAGATAAAAGCACTATAACTATTTTTACAGATTTAGTCATGATTATATGAAACCCACACACCAAAGAAAAATAAAGCAAAACATATTCAAACATAGTTACCAAAAACATAAAACAATAAGTAGATTCATGCACTAAATATAGTCCATTAAATTAACCTATACTATACATATTCAATTATACTTCTTTTAGGGAAAAAATAGGGCCTAAAAGACCCTGGCCGATAGCAGTACTATCATTCCCAACTTACAAAGTAGATTTCATCCCTAACAAAAAAATATGAAAACATTGTAAGTATTTTTACAGATATACATGAAACCCACACACAAAAGAAAAATAGTGACAAAACATATTCAAATATACTTGACAAAATAAATAGTCTCAACTCAAGTTATGCCCATATGAATCACCATCTCGGTACCAACCAATCAACTCAACATGTCCACAAGGACAGACTAAACTGAATCCTCAAAAGCTGCATCCTTTTTCGTAGTTTGGGACTCACTCCTGTAACAACTAAAATTACAAATAGTGAATTCAAATATGAAAAAGTTCTACAAAAAAAATTAAGACTTTCTAAAAAAGATTAAGAATTTCCAAAAAAATATTTATGCAGAAGGATTCCTAGTATGATAGGACATGTAAATTAATTGTCCATATACATGTAAAATGAGAACAATATATAATATAGTTTGAAAAATTAAATAACCATATGTGACATGTACATATTAATTAATAAATTATATATAAATTATATCTAATTTGGTTGTTTGAAAATTATGCTATTCGAACAAAAACTAAAAGTATTCAACAAAGTTTGGTGGGTTCTAAAATTTCTTGGCATCTTGTTGCATCTATATGTAGTTCTGAATTGGGAAACCAAGAGAGCATAAAATCTCACTTGACTTCCATCTCCCAGCAAAATTAAGAAAAAAAAATAAAACTTATCATTAAACCGGTTCCAAAGAATAAAATGGATGGGGGCAACATGGAGGAGGAATTAGGCGAAGGATTGGGCTCGACATAGATTGATGTACTGTTGAAGCAAATGCTTGAGATGTTGTTGGTATTTGAAAGTAGGAGGTTTTTATAGTCAATTTCGGGTGGAGATTGAGTGCTGAAAGAAGAGAAAGAGATTTTGAATTTTTGGTAAAGATATGGTGTTATTATGAAAAAAGAGGAGATACGGAGATGAACCTGCAAATTCTACAAAATAATGAGTCCTTAATTTCATAATTTAATTTAATTTAGTTTAATTAGAATTAAAATATATAATATAAGGTTTAAGGGTAAAATTGTCCATAGAAAATTTTACTCATACTCCCTCTTTTAAAGGGAGTATGATATGATTTATACCTTCTAAATTTAATATATATTAATTATGTTTCTATCACTATAGAGAATATTTTTATCTTTTTTTGTTAAATTGAGGGAAAAAGTTAATTTTATGGCCACATGGAATCACGTGATATCTCAATAAAATTGGAGAAACAATATGAGGAGTTATGTAGTGCAAATGCTAATAAAACAATTTGCAGGAGCATACTCTCTTTAAAAGCACGAGTTCGGGAAAAAATTTTGGTAGACAAAAGTGCCCTTGAAATTCAAATTAATCCATTAAGTAAGAGTAAGTTGATAAATTAATGAATTCTTATTGGATGTACATAATATGAATATAAAAATATAGTTTAAATTGAAATGTAAATCTAAATGAAATTATTAAATGCCAAATTTATAAATGTATACAAAATGAATGACATGTATACAAAAACCAAACAAATTAGCGAGACAAATAATGTTTGCCCCAGAGGTCGAACCTCGGAACAACACAGATCTACAAATGTACATAATGTGGATGAGGTATTTACGAAATCCACCCAACAAATTAAAGAGACAAAACTGTTCTAAAAATTATAAAAAAGGAAAATTAAAACAAACAGCTACATCACTGTACTATATAATTAGTTTCAAAGTTTAATTATACTATTATTATTTAAATAAAACTTTATTTACAATTGTTATCCTCTCACATACAACATTATATACCAATGTTTATAATCCAAGAAAATATAATAATTTTCGTAGTACTTTCATCTCCTTCTACATATATTTATCTTTGTTATTTTCTTTTTATTAGATTATATTAGATTATTTTAAAGCAACTAATTATATTATATATTTAATTTCTTTTCATATATATATCAAGAAATATCAATAATTTTCATAGTATTTTTTATCTATTTTCTTATTTTTAGATTAGATTAGATTATTTTAAAACAAGTAATTATGTTGTATGTTTAATCTTTTTTTTATATCAGAATTATAATAATTTTTATAGCACTTTCATCTCGTTCAACAAATATGTGTCTTTGTTATTTTCTTCTTATTAGATTAGATTAGATTGTTTAAAATTTATGAATTATAAAATTACAACAATTTTTACATCATTTGATCTATTTTTTCATATTAGATTAGATTAGATTATTCTAAAACAATTACTTATATTGTATGTTTGATCTTTTTTTAGATTATAAAGTTTAATTATACTATTATTATTTAACTAGATA